GCGTGTCCTGGGACTTGCTCTGTAGACCAGGCTGGCCTCAAACTCTTGGAAATCCACCTGCCTCTGCCTCCCGAGTGCTGGGATTAAAGGCCTGTGTCACCACCTAAAGATGACCCTGAACTTCTGAGCTTCTGCTTTACTTCCCAAGTGCCGGAAACAGAAGTGTGTACCATCAAAACAGACTCCTGAGGAACGACCCAGTAGCAGTCCTTCGGCTGCTACTCCTTGGGCCATTGCATGATTCTAAAGCCCACGGGAAAGGTGACAGGATAGATGTAACGAAACCTCCACAAAGTCTCTTTGCTTAGCAAAATTCAAAGCAAAGAGGAAACAGCCGGGATAGACAACACCGCCTGTCAGAACCCTGAGTGAAAGATTTCACCAAGAGATAAGAAACAAAGAAACCCAGCTTGGCGCTTCTCACGCCTGTGTGGGGCTGGCAGGCACGTTCCTAACTTGCACTCAGGTTCCTACCGCCTCCCATCGGGTTAGTTCACCAGGGGCCAAGACAAGCTGAGATGGCCCAAGGAATCCTCGCCGTAAAACACAGGCCAAGGGAACCTAGTGTGGATCAAGCCCTGTGCTTTGCCAATGGGGAGGGACCAAACAGGAACAGGATTCATTTCAGATCAGCGTCTCAACCTTCCACTGAGATGGATAGACAGGTACAAAATGATTGCAACTCAATATTCTTTTTTTCTTCTTTTTTTTATTTTTTGAGACAGGGTTTCTCTGTTGTTTTTGGTGCCTGTCCTGGAACTAGCTCTTGTAGACCAGGCTGGCCTCGAACTCACAAAGATTCGCCTGCCTCTGCCTCCCGAGTGCTGGGATTAAAGGCGTGCGCCACCACCGCCAGGCTGCAACTCAAAATTCTTAACAGTTTTTAAAAATAACCACTATTGCCGGGTGTAGTGGTACAGGCCTTTAATCCCAGCACTCTGGGTTAGGGTTAGAAGCAGAGGCAGGCAGATCTCTGTGAGTTCCAGGACAGCTGGGGCTAAGTAGAGAAACCCTGTCTCCAAATAAGGAAGAAAGAAAGAAGAGAAAAAACGAGCCCTCTTGGGCTGGCCGTTTTATCTGTTCCATGTAGCTCCTTTGGTAGACAGTTTGCCTAGCGCATAAACCCTGGGTTTGATTCCCAGCATAAAACCAACCATGGTAGTTCAGACTTGTAATTCAGGCTCTTGGGAGGTAGTGGCAGGGGGATCAGAAGTTTAATGTCATCTTCAGCTACATAGTGAACTTGAGGCCAGCCTGGGCTCCATGAGACCCTGTCTCAAAGACAAGAGAGGAGTAGTTGCCTTGTGCCTCTTCCAGCTTACTGCAGTGTCTTGCTACATAGCAACAGACACCATCAAAGCAGCAGGTTGAGGGTGACACATGCCCAGTGGGCAGGAAGTCACTGTACCGGAGCCAGAAAGTCACTCTTGCTGCTTGAGAGCAGGAGCACAGTGGTTTCAAGGAACCAGAACCCCAAAGAGGGACACACTGTAGCCCCTGAGACCAATCCTGGGCCTGGAGCCTTTTCCATAGGCTATGTCCACCATGGCCCCAGGTCACGGTTCGAGGGCTCTCTGGATGCTGCCATTCCCCCAACCTCCAGTTCTTGGCTCATACCATGCCTCATCACAGTCAGGCACCCTATTGCTGAACTGAATACTTGGGCAGAGGACACGATGGGAAGAATCAAGAAACGTGTGTGATGTTTAACTTTGTCAACTAGACACAATGTAGATTCACTTGGGAGAAGAGAGCCTTAGGTTGGAGCAGTTGACTGCAACGGGTTGGCCTTTGGGCACGTCTGTGGTGGACCATCTTAATTCATTGATGTGGGAAGACCCAGCCCACCGTGGGCGGCACCATTCCCTGGGCAAGGATCTCAGACAGCCCAATGTGGCCAAACTGAGCTAAGCATAAGCGAACCAGCAGGGGCTCACATACCCGTCTCCCTCTGCTGTTTTTTGACTGCGGGGTCTATGGCTAGCTTCAAGATCTATCCTGCCACTTCTGCTACCCTGCAGTAGCAGAACTGGGAGCTGAAACACACCTTTTCTCTTCTAAGCTGCACTTGCCAGCAGGGTGTTCTCACAACAAAAATGAAATCACAACAGGAATGAAACTGTAACAACGCGCTCTGTGGCAGGTGCTAGCTGAGACGCTGTGGCAGGTGCTAGCTGAGACGCTCCCAGGGTTGAAGCAATCCAAAAAGCCTATCAAGTGGGGCCGACACTTGAGGAGACCGAGGCGTCTAAGTGAGTCACTTTCTTGCCACCAATGATGAGAGAGAGGAAGGGGGAGAATCTAACATGAGTTTTCATAACAAAGTCTGGCCTGTTAGTGTTATTGCTAATTTTATTTTAACCTAGAACTTGCTATGTGGCTATGACCTTGAGCTTTGGATTCCTGCAGCCTCCACTTTTGAGTGCTAGGATTACATGGGTGCCCGACCACCTGACCATACCCTGCTTTTTTCAATCATGGAGATGGAATCCAGGGTCTCATGCAGGCTAGGCAAATCAACTGAGCCACATCCTTGGCCCAGTGACTTCTTTGTTTTTGTTTGTTTTTGGTTTTGCCTTTGGAGACACTCTGAAGGTTCAAAGAGTCTGGAGGGCCTAAATTTGTGGGATGCTTCCTCAAATTTGGGAAAATTCCTTAGGCTGTGGCGATACACACCTTTAATCCTAGCACTTGGCAGGCAGAGACAGGCAGATCTCTGTGAGTTAGAGGCCAGCCTGGTCTACAGAGTGAGTTCCAGGACAGCTAGGACTATATAGAGAAACCCTGTCTAGGAAAACAACAACAACAACAACAAAAAAACCAAGAAAATGTCTGGTGGGGACAATATAGAGTCCTCAGTGCAAATTTCCAGATAGCTGAGGGGCTGCTCAGACATTCAGGGCCTGGGACGACGTCACCAAAAGCCAGCTCGTTCCCTCCCACCCCTGGACAGTCACCTGACGCTCCTGCAGCCCACATATGGTATTGCACCATAACCTAGACAGATCTCTCACAGTGACTAAGAAGTGACTTCAGAAATTGACCTTTTATTTTTCATAGAAGAAAGAAATAAAGACCAAGACCACAGGAGACAGTTTGCTGTTCCTGTCATTTGACAAAGGACACGGGGCTGATTGGGGAAATAGTAGAACCCCAGGCTCAGATCAGTGCTAAGCAATTTCATTTTGAATAAACTGGAATTATCAAGAAACAAAAATGAACAGGCCAACAAACAACAAAATGATACCAGACCATAGAGAAAAAAGGCCCGGGGATGTAGCTCTGTCAGGGAGGGTCTGCCTAACACGCATGAAGCCCTGGGTAAAAATGGCATGGTAGTGTATGCTTGTAATCCCAGCACACAGGAAGTGAGGCCACAAGGATCAGAAATTAAAGGTTATCCTTGGCTACATGATGAGCTCAAGGCCAGCCTAGGCTACGTGGGATTCTATTTCAAAAAAAAAAAAAAAAAAAAAAAAGCAAAAGAAGGCCGTGGAGAGGCTCAGCAGGTAAGAGCACTTGCCAAACAAGCGTGAGGACTGGAGTCTGGACCTCGGGGAGTCACGTAAAATCTGGATGCAGTAGTGTGCATGAGTCGGCAAATTTGAGGTTTCTGTGGAGGGATGGGAGGAGGGGACAGGAAAAGGCTCAGAAGCTTCTAGGCCAACTAGTCTGCGGTATGTCGTGCGTGGACCACAGGAGATCCTGTTTCAACCAAGGTGGAAAGTAGGGACCAACAATGATTGTTGTCTGCCCATCACATGATCACATGCATGCGATCACGTGAGCATGTCTGGACATGGATGTGGTTGCAAATCCCTGCATCCCCCCCCCTCCCCGTCACCGCCTTTAAAGTATAGTTGAGAAAAAGGGACAAACTACTCAAATGTTTGCCATTCAGATATAATCATTGTCATTGTTTTGAGACCGGTTACTTGTAGCCCAAGGCCTTGAGCTCACTAAAAAGGAGAAGTTTATGAGGAGCAGGAGAGAGAACATGAGCAAGGAAGTCAGGACCGCGAGGGGTGTGCCCACCCACTGTGATGGTGGGGCTGATCTAACGGGAGCTCACCAAGGCCAGCTGGACTGGGACTGATGGAGCATGTGATCAAACCGGACTCTCTGAATGTGGCTGACAAGGAGGCTGACTGAGAAGCCAAGGACAATGGCACTGGGTTTTGATTCTACTGCATGGACTGGCTTTGTGGGAGCCTGGTCTGTTTGGATGCTCACCTTCCTAGACTTGGATGGAGAGGGGGAGGACCTTGGACTTTCCACAGGGCAGGGAACCCTGACTGCTCTTTGGACTGGAGATGGAGGGGGAGAGGGAATGGGGAGAGGGGGAGGTGAAAATTTTTTAAAAATAATAGTAATAATAATAATAAAAAAAACCTGAAAAGAAAAAAGAAGTTTGAACTTGGAACCCGGCACTGCCTGGGTGCCACTACAGGTGTGTAGTAGCGTGCCTGGTTTTATGGAGTCTCAGGGACAGAACACAGTGCTCCCTGCATGGTAAATATGTTGTTTTACCAATGTAGCTACATCCCAGTCCCACATTAGCAGGGCCTCAAACACAAGCAGTATATTTTATAAATCTAACATGAGCCTAGACACGAAGGCATTCCTGAGCAATGACATCCAACATGGACCTCTGACCTATACACATATATGCATGCACATGCATCTGCATACATACATGAACACACACACACACACAACCCTACTCAATTGTGTAGAGCGACCATATCACCTACTTGGGGCAACTGTTTGGTTGTGGTTTGTGTAACCGTGGATTTCTTACCTAGTGGAGGACACAGAGGCTCAGAAACAGTCACATCAGGACCAGAAAAGCAGCTGTTTGACAGTCCAAACCAGGACTCTCTTCTACCCACTTTGAACCTCAAGCTAGTGAAGTGGCTTTACCCAGCCTACTTAAGTCTAGTTGAGATTTAAGTCAGACCAAGGAGCTCAGTACCGGCCTGATATTAACAACAGGGCCATCACCACATGAGTACAAATTTTATTCAGGAGAAAGACATGATTGTTTCAAATCAAAAGGGACATTATTCAAGTTTTGTTCCAACGCTGCACACCAGGTGTGTGTGTTCCTGTGAGGTCCGCTCCCTTCGGTCTTCCTGACGGCCGCAAGAGTGGGAGACCAGGCAATGTGAGGCTGTAGAGATACCAGTAGGATACACACATCCCATAAATTTATCATCCACTGTAGCAAGTAAAGGATGATCCTTGCAGCCAGTGCAGGCCTGTGGTCCTAGAGGCTCACGGTCATCACAGTGTGTTCAGTCGCGAGTCTTGACCAGACTGATCAAAACGGATCAGTGGAAAACGGCCACTGATATCCAGGGACCTGCCAATAACTGGCCTGTCCACGAACTCCACGGTGCACAGCTCTGAGGTCCCATCACTGCAGGGTGCACGCTCCAGCTCCAGCACCGTGATGTTGTTTGGGGCCGAAGTCGTCAGAATGTGCCTCGGCACAAACAAGGTCACCTGGGGGCCCCGTGCGGGCCAGTATCGACCAAGGTTAAAGCCGTTGATCCACACTTGACCCTGAGGAGAGAGAGAGAAACCATCAGCCGTGGAAACACTAGTAGCTGAAGGGGCAAAAGGTGCCCCATCGAGTCAGGCTGAGGATCAGGCACCTTCAATCCTGCATTCCACCATCTCATGTTGGGTGGGAAATGGGTGGGAAGAATGGCAGGGCTTATCCCAAATGACAATCCCTGCTGCAACAAAAATGCATTTGGAGCCCCAGACTCCAGAAGCTAGCGGCTTCAGTCCTGGGGCACCTCAACACATTCTGTGTCTATCCTGGCTCCCAGGTACTGCCCGTCGGTACAGCAGCCCTCTCTGCCACAGCTGCCACACCCTCCAGCAGGCGAGGCTCTGCTTTCTGCCCCACAGAGGCAGCGCTTAGCTATGCTGTCTGATGTGCATAAAGCCCACAGTCGGAGAACTGTCCTCCAAACAATGCAAAATAAATGTGAGGGTGTGGGGGGCGGGCGCCGTCATCTCGGCACTTGAGAGGCTTACGGCAGGAGGATTGCTTTGAGTCTGAAGCTAGCCTGGGTCATATAGTGAGCTTAAGTCACAGAAAGGGAAAAGATGAGTACAAGGGTGGGAGCCTACTCAGGAGAGTGTGTTTATGTAGCATGAATTCTAATTGGTCTTCATAATAAAAACTCGGAGACAGCTATCAGGGGGTGAAAGCTGAAGGGTCGGAGAAGCAGAGTGGCAGCCACTACCTTACCTCTACCAATGCTCAGACCAAAGGGGTGATCCTGTCCTCAGATTCCCTCCTCAGACTGACTGCCCTGAGCTCCTGTCTCCTCCAGCCTTATATTCCTCTCTCCGCCCAGCCATATCCCTTCCTGTCTCCACCTCCTTAGTGCTGGGATTAAAGCTGTGTGTCTCCCAAATACTGGGATTAAAGGTGTGAGCCACCACTGCCTGGCTCTGTTTCTCTTTTAGACTGGATAGAGACCCAGGGTGGCCTTGAACTCACAGAGATCCCCTCTGCCTCTACCTCCTGGGTGCTGGGATTACAGATGTGTGCCACTACTGCCTGGCCTCTATGGCTAACTAGTGTACCTAGATCTGCAGCTCTGCACTATGATCTTCAGGCAAACTTTATTTGCTAGGTCATAAACAAAGTATCACCATGCTTGTGATTCTCATAGGTTTCCTCCGAGGGACACAGAGAGAACAGCGTGTCTACTTGGAGGACCAGATGAAACCCTACAAACACTGCCTATGAGCAGGGAAGCTGCTTCCCTAGCAAACACGAACAGACTTCAAGGGTGGCAGAATAGATGGAAGATTCTGCTGGAGAGTTGGGGGTGGGGGAGGCCACACATGCCAGGGACAAACAGGAAATCTGGAAGACAGAAGGAACAGAGGGAGAAGACAGAGGGGAGAAGGAGGGAAGGAAAGACATTGCTACTTGTGGTGACCCTTCCTGCTCATCTTAAAATTATCAACTAGCATTTGCATGGTCTTCCTATGTAGCAAAGGCTGGCCTGGGCTCACTATATAGTCCAGATAATCCTCCTGCCTCTATCTCCGAAGTGCTGGGTAATAAAGCGAGGGTAATAAAGCTTCTCTTGGCTTTATTCCATTCCACCTAGATTTCTTCTGTAGCTTCTATCTTTTTTTTTTTTTCCTGTTGTTTGATTTTGAGACAGGATTTCTCTGTGTAGCCCTGGCTCATCCCCCTGCCTCTGCCTCCCAAGCGCTTGGTGGGATTAAAGGTGTGCACCACCACCATCTGGCTAGATTTTTGTTGTTGTTTTTGGACACAGGGTTTCTCTGAGTAGCCCTGGTTTTCCTGGAACTCACTCTGTAGACGAGGCTGGCCTCGAACTCACAGAGATCTGCCTGGCTCTGCCTCCCGAGTGCTGGGATTAAAGGTGTGCGCCACCACCACTTTCTGGCCTGGCTTCCTGTCTTATTCCTCCCACTTGCTAGCTGTCTGTCCTCGGGCAGGTCCCCACTTCAGCTTTCCCACCCCGGGGATAATGACAGCACAGTCTACAGTCTGAGAACGATTCCCCACAGCCACCTAAGATGAACGTGTGTGGGGTGGGCGCTGCTGTTTCAGCACGTGGGAGGCCTCAGCAGGAGGACTGTCGGGAATTTCTGGGGGTCACCTTAGCGCCTGGTGCAGCGGCTGTGCTCCTGGGTGGATCTGAGCAGCCCTCTCACGGCCCACAGAAGGAGGTCAGCGACTCATAACTGCCTGTCTGTTGAATTAAGTCATTTAGAAAAGGGTAGCAGTTTCGAAGTTCTCAGAACTGCTCTGCTCTTGTTTCTACCATGGGATTCGTTATCTCCCTCTGTCCTGAAAGGCAGAAGCCATAATAGTTTCCCCGGTCTTTATCAGCTCCATCTCTGCCAGAGCCTTTGTTTTCAGTCTTAGAGACCAGCTCCTGATTTCATTTGCCAGGCATTAGTTTTGACTCATTTTTTAACTACATGTAACCGTACATAAACAGGCTGGGAAGACGGCCCAGTGGGTGACAGCCCTTGCTGGACAAGCGTGAGCACCCAAGTTCAAATCCCCAGCCACCATGTATTTTAGACAGCAGCCAGTACGGCAGAGCAAAAGAGAATTTTTTTTTCTTTCAGTTTTTAAAATAAGCTAAAATAATGTCTACTTTAAATCTTTTGATTACATTTGTGTGTGTGTGTCACGGCACATGTTGTGGTCAGAGGACAACTTGTAGGAGTCAGTCTTTCCCTTCTACACGTGGGTCCTAGGGATTGAACTGAGGTCCCCAGGCTTGGTGGCAACCACCTTCCTCACTGAGCCATGTCACTGTGAATCGGATTTAAAAATAAGCAGGAGTTCTGACTGAAGACAGGGCTGAGGTACGGAGGGAGGCCTGCTTCCATCAGGACACACTCTACCATCTCTCTCCAGCCTCCCAGCCACGCTCCACAGGGAGCCTGTTTCATCTGCATCGTCAGCTTGGCTGGAGGTAGAATCATGACGGACACACATCTCTGGAGGTGCCTATAAGGCAGTTTCTATACATGTTTAACTGAGGAGGGAGACCCACCCGGAGGTGGGTGGCACCATCCCATGGGCTGGATAAAAGGAGAAAGTGGGCCAAGCACCAACATTCCCCTCTCTCTGCTCCCTCTGGACACGGTGTGACTTACGTGCCTTATGTGCCTGCCACCAAGCCTTCCCCCACTGCGGAGGTCTGTACTCTCAAACTGTGAATCAAAATCAACTCTTATTGCTATTTTTTTATATCAAGATGAGGTCTCACTAGGCAGCTCTGGCCAGTCTGGGACTCACCATATAGGCCAAGTTGGCATCTAACCAGAGATCGGCCTGCCTCTGCCTGCTAAGTGCTGGGATTAAAGGTGTACACTTCTTCCTTTCATCTGGTATGTGTTCAGAGCAATGAGAAAGTAACTAATACAGAACCCTAGTCGGTGCTGTGTCTATGAACTGCAGAGTCTGGTCTCTTCCACTGCGTGAACACGCACACGTGGCAGCCAGCCCTGGAGGCACCCACTCCAGCTTTCGGCTTCCCCACTGTGTCCCCGCCTCTGCACCGCCCCCCCCCCAGCTGTCTTTGCTCATCCCGGGACCACACCTTCCTCCATTACCTGAACACCCACACTTGCTCATCTTGCCTGAGCAACCGCACGTCCTCAGAACTGAGTCCTGATACCAGACGCGGTCTCCTGAGCTCACAGTTCACAGCTGCAGTCCCAAGTACCTCCTCACGTAGGGCCATGACCTCTGCATCTTGGCCTTTCTAGTCTAAGCCACTCACTAGCCTTTAATCTCCCTCCTCTTCCAAGTTATTACCAATGTTGTACCGGTATGTCATTGGTTTGGTGATGGGTCTGTCAATCATTGGGGGCTATAGCACAGACTCACTATTAAAAAAAAAAAAACTTTGTTCACGTTATTTGGAGATAATCTAACATTCATCCAAGGAAAAATACATACATGAACATACACTATTGTGCATACTACATAGATATTCAATATCTACTCAGCTAACTCACTAGTCATATTTGCTGATAATTCTGCTTGAGACAAGATATGGTGAAGAGGGGCTGGAGAGATGACTCGGCAGTTAGGAACATTGGTTGTGCTTGCCAGGCAGGGTTCAGTTCCCAGCACCCACATGGTAGCCCACAGCCACCAGTAGCTTCAGTTTTGGGGGATCCTATGCTCTCATCCCCTGACCTCCATGGGAACCAGGCACACTTGTGGTGCACATACATGAAAGCAAAACACTCACACAGATCAAATCAAAGTTTGGCAAAACTACAATCGAATGAAAAGATACAGCGAAGAGGTTACCTCACGTTCCTCTACTCTCAATTAAGAGTTTACTTTAAAAAAAAAAAAAAGATTTAAACTGGGTGGCGGTGGGGCATGCCTTTAATTTAATCCCAGCACTCCAGAGGCAGAGGTAGGCGGATCTCTGTGAGTTTGAGGTCAGCCTGGTCTACAGAGCTAGTTCCAGGACTGTTTCACAGAGAAACCCTTTCTCAAAAAACAACCAAAAAAAAAAAAAAAAGAAAAGAAAAAGAATTACTTATTTGCTTTTGGGGGGGCAATATACATGCCAAATCATGTATATGGAGGTCTGAGGAAAGCTTGTGGAAGTCGGTTCTCTCTCCCTCCAATATAGCTCAGTAGAAGGACTCTTGCTTAGCAGACTTGGCTAGCCTGGGCTAAGTGTGAAACCCTGTTACCAAAGACCAAGAAGAAAGAAATATGCTAAAGTTATTCTTGGGAAACTCAAAAGTTTATGTTAATGAGGTGACTTCAGGGGGTTTGGGGACAAGCATTAATAACAGAAGAATCAGTGGCTTAGGGGTTGTCCCATGGCAGCCCCTCCATGAAAAAGCCTATCTCTGACCATCTCAACCCCGCCACACTCCTGCCCTCTGCTACTAACGCTAAGGTGACAGCAACGCTGAAGTTCTTGGAAGTGCCTGACCTACTTCTCAGCTGATCATACAGATCTGTACACTCAAGTGTGTGTGTGTGTGTGTGTAGGTATGTGTATGAT